GCAGCAGCAGCAGCAGCAGCAGCAGCAGCAACAGCTCTCACAGTTTGCACCACAACAACCTCAGCAGCCCACAACTTCTAGCCCTCAGCAGCCAGGAGAACAGGTATGGGTGTTTCAGCCTTCCCTATGTTTAATTTGTCAGTACTAGCTATCAGTCAGTTTGTGTGTACCTTTTTTGATGTTGTTGTTCTTAGTGGTACTGAGGAAGAAACCCAGGGCCTTATGCATGCTAGGCAAGCACTCTACCATGGAGCTATATCAGGGTGCATATTTCTGATAGAAAAGCTATGGTAAATAAAACATGTCTCTGTCTTATACAGGAATCAGGTTCAGAAAACGGATCACATAAAGCCATACACTGAATGGCAGAACGAGGTCTTTTTGCCCCTGTACCCCATGTATTTTCTGCTCAGTCATTGCCTTCTGTGGGATTTTGTTGCTGTTGGAATAGAGTTATTTCTGTTGTCATGAAGTGTAGGGCAGTGTGAATACAGGCAGATACACATATTGAACACTGACAAATAGAAATTGATTAGAACAGTGGTAATTAAAGTAGAGGAAGAAGTACATGTGTTTCTGAACCTTGGCCACACTTTGGAATTATCTGGGAAACTAAAGTACTGATTTCTTCCTGGTCTCACCTCCAGAGTTTCTGTTAGCTCACAAAAATGTTCATCAGTCCATTGGCACAAGTCTTCCTAATTTATCTTGGTTGAATAAAGTTCATTCTCTAGTAGATTCCTCAGAAAAGACACATTTAAAACTATTTTTATTCTTTGTACATTAAGAATTCTGTAGCTGATAAAATCCTTAATTTGCTTTCTTTCATTTTGTTTATTTTTAACCGATAAAATACACATAACATAAAAATTTGCTGTTTTAACCATTTTTAAGTGGCAGTATAGTAGCATTGTGTATTTAACATTGTTGTGCAGTAGATTTGTAGAATTTTTTCATGTAGAAAAACTGAAACTATATATCCAATAAATAACTACTCCCTGTTTTCTCCTCCTCTTAACCTCTGGCAACTACTGTTCTACTTTTTTCAGTGAATTTAACTACTATAGTTACTGCATATATGTGAAATCATAACATGTCTTTAAAGATATCATTCTTTAGGATATGTACCCAGAAGTTGTCTTGCTGGATCTTATTGGTCATTTTGTTTTTACTTTTTTGAGAAGCACCATATTGTTTTTCCATAGTAGCTGCACCATTTAACAGTTTTACTTACAATGTATAGGGTTGCATTTTGTTCAAATCCTCACTGGTACTTATATTTTCTAATGTTTTGTTTTGTTTTGTTTATTTATAGTACTGGAGATCAGACCCAGGACCTTGAGCACGTTAAGTGTGCATTAAGCTACACTCCTCACCCCCCTCGTTTTTTTGTTGTTGTTGTTGTTTTGGTGTTTTTAATAGCAACCATCCTCATAAGTGGGAAGTGGTAATCTTATTAGTCTTTGTTTGTATTTCCTTAGTGATTAATGATGTGATCATTTTTATATGTTCTTTGGGGAAATGTCTATTCAGGTCCTTTTGCAATTTTTTAAATTAGGTTATTGGGGTTTTATTGTTGTCCTTAAGTTGTAGAAGTTCATTATACATTCTTTATATATACATATCAGATAATATAACTTCCAAATATTTTTTGTATTTTTCCCATCTCCTCAGAGTTAACATATTTCATTTGTGGGTTGCTTTTTCAGTCCTCTGATTATATCCTTTGCACACAAGTTTTTTGATGTGGGTCATTTTATTTATTTTTACTTTCTTTGCCTGTGTTTTAGGGTCTTGTTGAAGAAATCATAATCATTTCCAAATCCATTGTCATGATGCTTTTCCCCTGTTTTTCACTAAGACCTCTGTATAGTTGTAGGTCTCTTAAAAATTGTTGATAGTGCGTACCATTGACTTGCTTTTGTATATATTGGAAGTCTGATGTCAGCCTAATTATCTTGCTTTTGTAAGTGTATCTAACTGTTCATGTCAGCTAGAGGCCCCAAAAGGTTTGTCTGTTTTTTCCTTCAAGGTCAGATATTTTCATTATGATATGTGTCAGAATGAGTCTTTTCTAGATCTTTCCTGTAGAGCCTATTGTGTAGGTTCAGGTTTTCTTTATTTCCTGAACATTTTATTGGATCATAGATTTCTGATTTCTTATAATGGAATCTTATATTATTGGCTTTAGGTTCCATTCTTTCCTAAAATAAAAATTTAATTTTATGCATTTACTTTTCAGTAATTCCTAAGCTGCTTTCTATAATTTTTGATACATTATGGCTTCATCGTCATTGCCTAGAAGGGTCTGTCATTATATATTCCTCCTAAATGGGCTTTAAAGATATCTTTGATTTCTAAATGTGTGTGAATTTTCTAGATTATTTTTCTGTAACTGATTTCTAGTTTAAATCCACTACCATCTAAAAACGTCTTTTAAGTTTGTTGAGGTTTGTTATATGATCCAGAATACAGCCTGTCTTGATTAACATTCCACATATAGTTGAAAAAAATTTGTGTCACACATTAGTGATGTTCTTTATTAGAGCATTTGGTGATAGTGTTCTGGTCCTGTATCCTTACTGATTTTTTTTCCTATGTATTCTATGAATCACTGAAAGAAGTCTTCAACCCAAACAATGGAAATTTCTCTTTCTCCTTTTGGCTCTTCTATCAGCTTTTGCAGAAAGTTTTTTTTTAAAAGCTGTTTTGTTAGGTGTGTATACATTTAGGACTGTTATGTACTTGATGTATCCATCAGTTAATAAATGGCCTCTTTTAACTCTGGACTTATTAATATTTTTTGCTTTCTCTTGAGATTATGATAGTATATTAAGTATGTCTTTTTCTTTTCATTCTTTCCCAAGTGTTTTTATTTGTAATTTTGTTATTCAGTGTGTTTAATCATTATTGTGCCTTTTTTTTTTTTTTTTTTTGTATTTCCATTTGGTATTTTATAATGTTCTTTAGTTTTGTGGGCTGTTTTTAGTGGGAGATTTGTCCCAGCTATAGTTCTTTCATTTTTGGTTTTTATTTTGTTTTATAATAGTTCTATTCTGAAATTGATGTAGTTTACATTTTATATTTTTCATTTCCTAAATTGGATTCCAAGTTCAGGAGTGTCTTCTTAACATCAGTTCCATGCTTGTCTGTGTAATTTCTTTTAACAAAAACCACTCGAGTAATTTTTGAAATGTCTGGCTTTTATTTTAAACTAAAATGTTATTTCACACACTTATTTGGGGTGGTAGCAAAGGTTGTACTTTGCAGAGTGAGTTTTTAACTTAATCACATCCAAGTTAATTTATTTTATATAATGTCCTATGGGTGTGGTGATTGAGAACTCTTAACTTTAGCGATGTGTCTCAAGATTTTCTCCTGCTTTCTTCTAACAATTTTGCAGTTTTCTCTTTTAAATCTGTGATCTGTTTCTTAGTTAATTTTTATGTAAGGTCTGTGACTTAGGTCTAGGAATTTTGGCTGTGAATATTCAGTTGCACTGTTATCATTTGTTGAAAAGCTATCCTTCCTCAGTTGAATTACTTTCGCACCTTTGCTATTTGACTGTGAATGTGTTCCTGGATTTTTCGATCTGTTCCATTGATCTGTGGTCTACCCCTCAGCCAAAATCTTACTGTCTTGATCTCTGTGCACTCTGTCATAAGTCTTAAATCAGGCAGAGTGGTTCCTCCCACTTTATTCTTTTTTATAAAATTGTTGCTAATCTAGGTTCTTTACTTTTCCGTACAGATTCTAGAGTCAGCTTGCCTATATTTACAAAAACCTTTTTGGGGTCTTTAAAGGAATTGAGTAATTTTTTAAAAAATATTCCATTTTTAGTTGGACATAATACCTTTATTTTTATGTGGTGCTGAGGATCAAACCCAGGGCTTTGCACATGCTAGATGAGCACTCTACCACTGAGCCACAACCCCAGCCCCAGGAATTGAGTAATTTTTGAAGGAATTGATAAACTATCAATCTCTTTCAGGAAGAATTGCCTTTTTTGTTTTGCAAGTCTTACAATCAATGAACACAGACACACTATGTAGGACAAAATCAACATTTGAAGTTTTTAATGTATATATTTTATTAGATATACATTTATATGTAATTTTTTTTATTCTGTCTTTTTGTGATTGTAAATTGTGCTATTATTTTCAGTTTCCATGTTTACTACTAGTATGCAGTATTGATTTTTTTTATATTGACCTATATTTTGCATTCTTACTTAAACTTAATAGCTTTTTGCATTTACCTTGGTATATCCTACATAAATGTTCATACCATTTGCATATAGGGACTTTTTTTTTTCCATTACATTCTGTATGCCTTTTATTTCCTTTCTGCTAGCTAAGAACTTTTGGTATTAGGTTGCAAGGGGTATTTTAAGCTTTAACCAATTGCTTTAGTGAAGCTTTGTAAAAGTCTTACGGCAACAGTGAGACCCTGTCTTCTTTTTAAAAATCTTAATTATTAAAATGGCATCAAACAATTAGCATTGATTCAGTTTTGAAAAAGTTTCATTTCCTCTCTTTCAAATCTTGCTAATTCTGTTTACTTTGTATGGATGTGTAGTACTGGGGATTGAATTCAGGGTTACTACTCTACCACTGAGCCGAATTCCAGTCCTTTTTTATTTGGAGACTAGGTCTCACTAAGTTGCCAAGTTACCTGGACTAGTTTTGCATTTCTGATCCTCTTGCCTCAGCCTCCCAAGAATTGGGATTAGCAGTGTCTGCTACCATGCCCAACCTAATTCTATATACTCTTAGTCTTTCTAATGTTATTTTTTAAAATAGAATTAATCTATTTTTTTCTCATACAGGAAAGAAACCAATTTCTTTTCATCAGCTCAATATTGTTTTTCCTTTGTATAAGTCATTATTTTTTAAATTCAGGGCTCTGAACAAGGTTCAACTAGTCAAGAACAGGCCTTATCTGCTCAGCAAGCTGCTGTTATTAACCTTACTGGAGTAGGAAGTTTTATGCAGTCACAGGCAGCTGGTAGGTATCTTTACATGCTGAATTTACTAAAAGTATCTAATCTATTAGAGGTCTCACCACTTAAAATTATTTTCTTTTCCTTCCTTGCAAGGTATGATTAGAAAAAGTAAAGCTATATTTAATTTGTGAACTATAAACAAATTAACTGATGGCTGGCTGAAGTTGTTTTTTTTTTTAATTTTTTATTTGTGTGTGTGTTTGTGTTAATTCAGTACTTAAAAGAGCTGTGACTCACATGTAGTTAGAGCAGTCGTGTTTTCCTTATGTTAGTTTGTTGACAAAATTTTATCATGTATCCAAATCACGTTTTCAGTGTTTGCAAGCAATTAATTCTAACTCTTGATATTTTGGACTATTTTCTCCTAGAATGCATAGTCTTTTGTCTCATTCTGATAGTTTGTGATTGCATGACTTAAATCTTAACCATAGCATAACTTCTGTAAGCCACTTTTATCATTTGTTAAAAAAAATAATAAAAGAATTAAACTGAGAGACTACTCAGTGCTTCCAGCAATAAATAGTAAAATGAAAATAATGAATATTGTCTTAACAATTGACAATAATTCTAATTTCACATTATTTAAAATACTAAGTCGTGTGCATAAGAAAACTCGGATAAAGTTTGAAAATTTAATGAATGTGTTGTCAATATTTTCTCACCTGTGGGCTTACTATAATGTCTATAGATTTTTATACAGCACTCTCCCCGGCCTTTATTATTTTGGTAATACTGGGAATTGGACCCAGTAGCACACCACCTCTGAACTATATCCCTACCTAGTCGTTTTTATTTTTTTGAGACAGGGTCTCACAAAATTGTCCAGGCTGACAAATGAAAATCCTTCTTCTCCTCAGCTTTCCGAGTTGCTGGAATTACTGGCCTGCACCACCATGCTTGACTATAACTCCCAGTTTCTGAATTTCAAAGTCCTTTAGGATGGAATAATCAAGGTCTTTGTTTTGAAGATAATTAATTCATACGTAAAGTTTCCAAGTGGAAGTTTATAATTTTATATCTTTACCACACAAAGTTATAAAT